TCTGTGTAAGTTTGCATGTTCGTATCTTTGTATGTATGTTTTGTTTGTATGCATATCCTTAAAAGTCTTAAAATGCATTGTCTAAAGTAGTTCTGCGCAGACCAACAGCAGCCACTATATAAAGCTAACATATTCAAATTAAACAAAGAATTAATTGTAAAATACATTTTAAAAAATATCTAAAAATGTCTGCTCAAATTGTTTTTGTTTCGGGCATTTTAATAACAATGCTAGTAAAAATTATTTGGTTTAAAAGCTATGTATAATTTTTTTTCTATGTTTCAATGTATTTCACTTCGTTTTTTAAAGAACATCATTTGTATTCTTTTTTTAAAATTTACTATTGTTATTTTTTATTAAATTATTTTTTTAAATTACATTTTTATATTTATTTTACCGTTTTACTTTTGAGTGTTAATATCTTAATCTGTAAAGCATTAACAAAGGAAGAGTTGTTTATCGTTTTTAAAATAATGTTTTAATAGCTTGGGAAAAATGACTTATCTATTTACCTAGGCATTAAACCAAGTAGTAGTTTATTTGATCGAATAATACCATTTTCAAATTTAGTCACCATTTTATTTATTTTGTTTACGTTCCGGGACGAAAAGGTCACGCACAGACAACCATTATTTTTTTGTAAGTTGCTTAAATGAGAAGAACTCAGTTGCTGTAACCAAAACGAACATGTATGTAACCGACGTAATCATTTTTCTCATTTGAATAACAGAATAAGTTATAATTAATTATTTCAATCTAAAATTTTTCCAACATTAATTTTATGGACGAGACTTTATGTCTGTCGATGAAGATACCAATATGCATAGTTCATCGCTAATGTAATTGCCTATTTAACATGTTCTGTTGCGTCATTTCTGATATGTTTTTCCCAAATTTAATTGAATGATTTCTGAAAAGTTGGTGACATATGGAATTTAGCAATATTCTGATCAGATGTATTATGCAAGCAATACACAAGGGAATTAAAATAGTTTTATCTTATTTCAAAGGTTAAATAAACCAGAAAAGAAATATTTTCTGAGACATCTAACTTGAAATGGCCGAACTAGAAACCAAAATTTATTCATGGTGGTTAAAAACATGCATATATCAATTGTTTAGATAACAATTCGGATTTTAATTTAAAATATTTTTTTTATTTTTTATTAACAATTTCCATGCATACTTCTATATGGATAATATTGAATTCAAGAATGTTTTGAATTTAATTTTTTCTTATATTTTTCAAAAATTTGACATGGTTCCATGGTCATGTAAACTATATTGTTAAACCAAGGTTTAATTTGTTTAAATATATATATACAGATTTTGTCAAAATTTAAACAAAAAAATGATCGTGACGAGGCCCCTTATTGTTGTGTTTATATAAAATGACACATTTTAAGGACCCCCCGCCCCACCCAATAATTGAATGAATAAGTGAAAGCACTATAGCTTTTGCATTTGAGATCAAATTTTGATAAGGTAAACTAATATTGTTGTTATTGAGAGCAGTGTTTATTGTACATGTAAAGTATCGTACAATGAAACTTTAATGATGATAGATTTGTTATCCTCTTCTTGCAAACGCAGTGTTTTGAATTGATTTTTTTTTCTTTTCTTGAAGTAATCAATGGATTCATTTAAGTCGAGTATAAGAATTATTTTCTCTTAAAAATTGCGACTTGAAATTTAGCTTTGCATTTCATTAAATACATTTTTTTTAATTGGATTATTTTTAACTTACATTATGAATATTTCTTTTTCTTTATTTTTGTTATAATCACAAACAATTATAGAAATAAAAATGACTGAATGTGCGTGCCCTTCAACATTTATTTTTCTACTAAACTAAATAATTTTACTTTTTATAGAAATATAACAATATCTGTGTGTTAATATAGTTATTTTAAACATTTGCTGTGTGGCTAAAAAAAACTATAAATTATATAAAATGTATTTTATACAATAAAACTAGAGTATCATATTTTATCAAAGAGTTCTTTTTATTTATGACGTAATGTCAATTTAAAAAAAAATGTGCGGTAAGTATTTCAGGTATAATATTCTTCATTAAGATTAAAATACAACTACTGTAATTCTTGGATAATGCATTCGTCGCTAAACGAATAAAAAAAAATATATTTACATTTTAACTTCATGCTAATTATTTTAATTGCAATACAATCTGGAATTTGAGAAAGACACCCCTGTACACACAGTCTTTTCACGTCACCTGCTCCCTGGCGTACATATTTATTTTCTTTAGCGATAAACCATTTAAAGAAGAGAAAATTTATCGGACTCCCGCAAAAGTCGATGATAAGTTGTGATATCTGCTTAGCTTATGTGAACAAAATTTCTAATCTACTGATACCAAATATATTTATGGTACACCAACGGCTTCGTAATTCGGAGATGTAGAAGGGATGTAAGTCCACTAAGTAAATACTTCAATGGGTATCAGTTGGTGCATTCAGCAAAACATTTGCAATTTTATGTCAATAAAAATATGCAAGAGCATGATGGAATTATGGGCGTGAAAATATAATGTTTTTTCAAACAACTACAAAAAAAAACACAAAAAAAACTTTTCGTATAAATCCTTTATTAAAATCTAATGTTGTACAATGTGGGGATGGGGCTAATAATTTGACACAACAAGTAGCCTACGCATATTATAAGAATCCCAACCCTTCCCTACTCCCCCCCCCCACCAACGGCTCACAACTGATCATTGTTTTCTAGCACCTGAAAAATATAAATATTATTATTTATTTGTTATTTGTGGGGGGTTTTATATAGCACGGGAGTCCAGCCTGGCTCAAAACGCTGTACATACAATTTAACAAACATAATCATGAACTTAAAAATTAACATACATTAACAAATATCCTAATGACCCTCCCACTTTTAAACAATTGATTTATTTCAACAGCAATTTTGGAAAAATCAAAACCAAATATTAAGCACGAAACGCACTTGATTATTTCTTTTTTTTAAAACTTATGTAACGCAGTTATTGGGGATTTCATTTTATCTTCTACTTGACCAACAGGAAAAAAACAACAACTATTTTTGGGAGATAGTCGTTGGGGGTTAGGGGTCAAAATTTGAAAGTAGGTTATGTCTTCAGCAATGAGCCCATGTGCCTCGGTTCTGCTCGCTAGATTGACGGGAAGTGGGTCAAGGAGCCGTCCGAAATAGTACCACCCAGCCAGCCAGCCTCACACGAACAAAAAGCGACGTTAATATAAAGTTCTAAAAAATAGATACATATTATTCCTTTTTATTTTACCAAAAAATAAATTTAAGAAGAAGAAACAAACATGGGTTTTATGATTTTATTTTAATATAAGGCAATATCTGGTTGTTTTTTTTTTGGTGTTGTTTTTTTTCTCCATTTTTAACTAAATACAATTTAGGGGCATTGGAACAGTTTATGATACTGAATAGATGTTAGATACACAAGACGTGAAGCTTGGGTAAGAGATGTGCTTTCAAATATAAGAATTCTTTGTTTAAAGATTTTCAGATTATATTGTTTAAGAATAAGGCGGAGGTTAAGTAAACGCTTAATAAATATAACAATATATTTAATTACGTTAAGGCTACATATATATTTAAAACAGTTAATATTTTCATTAAAGTTTGGGACATGCTACATTTGTTTTGAGATTTGCTCAGTTTAGACCACTCGGGCACTCAGCATCCATATTTTATTAAATATTCAATATTTGTTATGTTGTGACTAAACTATTTAATAGTTTTGCAAACTAAGTAAAAATAACCTAACACACTTAATCAAAAACCAAGCATAAACATAATTTCCAATTCTTCCTTTTCTGCAAATAATATTAAATGTGTAGCCTGGTAGCATTTTCCACTGACATCACAATATACAAAGTATTTTTTTTTAAATTTCACTTACTTCCTGGGTGGAAAATCGAAATGGCTTCATTTCCATTTTGGTAGTTAATAAACAATTCGAGGGCCGCATGATATTAAACGTAACAAAAAATATATATATAAATAAACAAATGTGCAAACAGTTAAGAAATTATTTAACATTTATTGTACTCTAACATTATTTAAGCAATTTATTTGACATTTATATAAATATGATGCCCACAGCCTTTTTTTTACTAATTATATATGTAAAAACCCAGATGACATGCTGTTTTGAAAACATCAAGTGTACATTGCAACTGTACAAAACCATCAACTCAAATAAATCTTACAACACAGGCTGGTTGACAGGCATTCTCACCAGATGTTCAAACTAATTATTTGTGGTTGAGCCATATTCTGACTGAAAGAGGTGACAACAAACAAATTTCTTATTTACTGGTTCAGAATTTTGACCAGATTTTTTTATTTTTTATTTTTTTAGGAGCTCACCTTAAATTTAGGGACTGTCAAAAATGTCCCAAGAAACCAATCAAATTTTTAAATTCTCTTCTATATATATAAGATTTCGATTAAACAAGCACGTAAGCTTCTTCTTAAGAAACATGGGACATTTTTGTTTAAATTTAATATTTTTTTTTGGTTGGGGGGGGGGGGGTCTCATTCAACATTAGCGTCCCCATTTATTCAATATAATTATTATGTATACTTTTCATAAATACTTAGTTCCTTTGTTCCGGTCTGAATATCATATGCATTTTTTTTTAATTTTATATTTTTTTTTTTGTTGGGGGGGGGGGGTCTCATTCAACATTAGCGTCCCCATTTATTCAATATAATTATTATGTATACTTTTCATAAATACTTCGTTCCTTTGTTCCGGTCTGAATATCATATGCAGGTAATTGTTAATCCCAAGACAATTTGTATTTGTTTTTTAAATTGATATCACCTAAGAATGCAATGCCGTTTAGTTTATATCACTATGCAAAATCCAACTAGCTGACGATATCCCCAATCGTCCACCAATAACGTAGTTATCAGGGTAATGATGTTAAATAGTCCTTTAAACCAACTGACTAAATCCAAACCTGTTACGACATACGTGACAAGTCATAACGGATTTTGCCCGTCAATTCTGGCGGGCATTTCATTGACTACGACAGAAACATGTACATATTTTTATTTTAGGTAACCTTTTGTTTGTTTCTTTATTAATAATATTGTTTATTTATTACTTTTCTGCATCAATGTTTGACATGTACATCATTATCACGAAATTGTATGGTACATTACACTATAACTTGCAATTTGCTTTAATTTTGCAGGATCTAGTTGAGTTCAGATAGTGCTGGATATTATTTAATTATGTCAGTTTGAAAATACAGTAATCTATACAACAATTTTTTATATATTTTCTCCTTGTTTTACACTATTGAAGTTCAATTTTTAATAATTAAATCAATCGAGATAAACATCGAGAGGGATGTTAATCTTAGATGGAACATTCTATACTTTGTTAACTTTAAAAACAAATGAAGAATAATTTTCAGCATTTTATATAATATTAATGTTGATAGTAATAGCAGGTAACTGTTTAACAATTTTCGAAAATATGGTTTCACGGTGATCGTGTATTTATTTTCAACCAGGGGCTTAAGCAAGCTATATATAATTAATAAAATAGCATGGGCCTATATAGAAATCGTTCATAAAGTTATAAATCAGTATAATTGTCGTCAGTGAGATAGGGATCCGATATATGCAAATTGTTCTACTGAGTCTAACTATTCTAAAGGTTTGCAATACAACGATAGCAACTGCGTCTTGAAGCTACATGCGAAAGATGCCCCAAGGGATTCCAAATTCTTACTTACTCAGGTTTACCAATGCTCTATAATATATATATATATATATATATATATATATATAAGTGAAAATGTGTGGGCTCGTTTATCCCTCAAAGGCTTTTACATGGGTTGAGAGATCTTGACCAAATTTGGCACATATATCCATAATTATGTAGAATCAAATTCTAGGTGAAAAGGGATCCCATAGGGAAAAATATACCTCCGGAACGGGATTCCAATTAGAAATGGGATCCCGTTGGGATCCCAAAGTGGTTGTGATTCCACTTGGAGTCAAGGGTGCATCCAGTGTCCATCTGGATCGAGATCCCATCGAGATCCTATTTGGATAGGGAAATGGATCCCATCAGGATATAATGGGGATCGGGATCCCATCGTGATCTAATTGGATCTGGATCCCATCGGGATCGGAATCGCATAGACATAGGGATCCCAATAGTAATTGGGATGTTGATTTCATACTCGGAAAAGGGATGACAACAGGGAAAGAATTTAAAACAGGCAAATAGTTTAAAACAGTGTCTAGCCTAGTTAACCTTTCTTAGATATTAATATATTTTACTATACTTCTTCTTCTTCTTCTATATCTTAATTTATTGATCATTTTGGCTCCTATGCATGTAGATGGGATTTACAATGTTTCTGTGTCTGGTGTTGATGAAGTAGTGTCATCAAAGTGTCTGAAATTTCGTTATGAATCAGTCATTGCCTTCTTGCCCCTTTACTCGCATTAATCAATTTATTTATAATTATATGTTGTTCATAGCGAATGAAGATCAATATTTTTAAAATGATATTTTTAAATATTTTAAATAGGGATACGTGCTACATGGCTAGTAATCAAGATGATGTTGCGGGATCTGAGGATGATGAAGATTATATTGAGTTACCGAAAAGTAATTATAAATTATTTCTTTAAAAAACTTATTTATATTTATATGCTATAAAATGGCTTCATTCATTTACATTTCGTTGATGTAAGATAGTCTTCATTTGACAAACATAATCATTGAAAATAGCAGTGCGAACTTCATAGTGTCATGATGTTAAAACACATGACTACTAATTTTAATAACACAGCCTTTTTGTAAAAAAAAACAAAACAATTTATAAATTTATGTTGGTGCTTTTAGAAAACAATAAATGGGACATACTAATTATCCTCTTTAAAAAGTCATTGCTAATTTACATCTTATGTTTGCTTTGACTTACTTAAAAAGTATTGTTAACAAAGGAAACAATCGTGGTAAACATTTGTCTTCAGCTAGGCCAGATGAGAATGCCCTGAGGTCTAATCGTGTTCGCTGCATCAATGAACACAGTGAGAAGTCTGTTCGACTATATAAAAAATATATGTCGGAAAAAGTGAGTGATTGAAGACACGCGTATTTTAATCATTGAAATGAAAACGCGGAATCCACATTGATAATGTAAAGCAATAAAAAAAATATAGCTCATGAAAATAGTGTTGTTTGTTTTTTAACATTATGACTTTAGAAATGATGAATATGAAAAATGTGGATTTTTATCTACAAAATCATGCTATTTTTTAATATGTGTTGAAGATTTTTAAATGTATTGCTATATACATCAAAACAATAAATGCTAATTGAAAATATTGCAGGTGTTTATCTAATAAAAACCACCGTCTACGGCATTAGCAAAATTTGATTTTCCTTTTGTGCGTAGTGTTTTGCGAACCCAATATAGATGCATTTTAATGGGATCTCAAACAAGCCAATGTTACCATGAAAAACTCTTTGAAATTCAGTAAAACAGAAACAGAGTATCATTAGAATTGTATGAATTTTCATACAAAAATATTGTCTTACAAACACCACCAAATATTATTTCGTTTTACCGAAAAAAATGACATAGCAAATCTACGATGTTAAGAGGGACGGTGACGTAACGAGGGTTGAGGAGGAGGGTAGTAAGCACTAATTAGCGAACTTATAAATTGATTACTTAAATGCATGTTTTGTCAAGTAACCTTAGTCGAAGTTCACGCCACGCAGCCACCACTTGTATGGCTGGCTGTATTTTTATTTTATTTTGTGATTGTAGTTAAGATTATAAAATTATTTTAATCCTAGTCTTTGGTCTATCCTATGAAACACTTGCCAAGGGGCAACGTCATTGTAATAAACAACGAACAACTCTCCCCACCTCATCAAAGAAGAGGAACTGACAAAGACATTCACAAGATCACCGCAATATTCAGTCAACTTGGTTTCAATATTATAGTCTACAACAATCTCAAAACAGATGTACGTTACAAATTTTTTATAAATTAATTTTTTGACTGAAAACTTCTAAAAACAATTCTAGTTTTATATAAACAATATCAAGGTTTCATAGTAGGTAAAAAAAAATCAATGACATCTACATTTTCTTTTGTTTATATTTTTTATGTTTTGTTCAATGCTTTGGTATGTTTCTACTTATTTAAATGCCAGTTATGCACACATAATGTTGTTTTTGTTAAATTACTAAAATAAATGTATTTTTTCTTAAAAGTAATTAACATAAAGGTCATATAACTAATTTAAGAATTAAGAGTATCCTAAATTATATCTTATATCGTATTTACACATATCTTATGTTTATAACTTTCTAGATATAGATATCATTGTTTTGATATTTGTTTTATTTAGTTCAACGAATATTTTTTTGTCCAAATTGTTTATATCTTAAACTTTTAAAATGCAGGAAATGGTCGAGACTTTAAAGATAGAATCGAAACATGATTACGGTAATCACGACTGTTTGATACTTTTCATTCTGACAAAGGTGTTGTGTTTGGTATCGATGGAAACCGTTTGCCCATTTCTCACATAAGAATATTATTTTCCGATAATAAAAAGTTGCTAGGGAAGCCGAAGCTGATCTTCATACAAGCCTGCTAGGGAGGTACGTTTCTTTAAATAAATAAAATTCAGTTTACAATTTAGCCCTATATATTGTTTATTGGTTATACGATATTTCATACAAACCTGTTACACACTGTTTTTAAGAAATGGACAAATAAACATAACTTCCTGCACTCAACTTAATTATTTTTTTAAAAATTTAAAAACTATCTGAATACAAAGTCAAGCCACTGTCAATTAAACAATTTTTTTTTAAAAATCTTAGAAAACACATATCATTAAATTGGAAACAATAATAGATATTAAACTATAACGAAACGAATATGTATAATGTACAATAAAATATTTTCTAAAATCGTTAGAGAGAATGTGCATAAAATTAACTATCTGTGCTTTTATGCAAACGTCGGATGTAACATCCTCATACTCATTCATCTGAATATAAAAATAAATGACTTTAAAATGTGTTACATTTTAAAAGTAAGCATTGAAGAAAAAGGGCTGTTTGCTGTTTTAGCTAAGGCTTACACTAGTTAGTCGTCAATTGACCTGTTTAAATTTCTCCTTTTACTCTTTAAAAAAGATATGATGCTTTTTGTTATCTTATCTAGATATTATATGGGTTCTACTACGCCATACTTATCATATTACATTCAAAATTTAACAAACATAATTTTTAGGAGATATTATTTTTTCATTGTTTACTTTGTTCCTATATTTATCTATAAATGGTATCAAAATTGGAGTTTTTATGAAATGTCGATCTTTTTGTTTAAATTAAATTAAGAAATCCCACAGGCTGGGACAAGAGATTTTTTTATATTGAGATTTTAGATTTTTCTTGGTATCTGGACGGTATAATCCTCGTAGTTTGTCAAGTTTAAAGTTTCATGCTTTACTGAACGTGGTCCATTTAGTCGGGACTTTTTTTTAGTGATTTATCACACAATATATAAAGCTAAACTTGCTTTTATAGTATATGTTCCTAATAATCATTATATCAACCTGAGATAAGCATAATTTTTTTAAGGATACATTTTCTACCAACGGTGACAATATGGTTAGAAGATGAGCAGCAAATATAATTGAATTCATTTAAAAGAGAAAACTTTCTTTCACGTTTCTAACTCTTGCCTCACAGAATTATTTGTAAAAAAAAATTCTTCTTACACTGTCCGCTTTTACCGGGAAATCGCCTTTTAAAGGCATAGTTTGATTGATTGAGAACTTTTATAGCGCTTGTGTCCATGCTACTTTTACCTGCTCACAGAGCTCAGATGTCCTAAAATATATTCAAAGAAAAAAGTATTGAAATGGTAATTAAAAGACTTTTTAAAAAATTTTTAGTGTCCCTAAAAAATTGAGACAAACTGTTCGACAATTAAGCCGCAAAAACTTTTAAAAAGCGCACTCTATATGATTTGTTTCTCTTTCCATCTTTACTGGAAACTTTCCGTAAAGACTGTTGAAGAGTGCATGTTCTGTATCAATACATGTTTAGAATTTTCTTTATACACGATACTATGCGTGCTGCAGCGTTTTGCACCTTCTATGAATTTGACGGATTTTTTTCGAGGTGTGAAGCGTGCTAAAGAAATTTTAGAGTGTACTTAACATGTTTGGTCCACAGACGACGTGACAGATCGTTCTAATCGTGCCTGATATGCTTAATCTCGTCTTATCTTTCAAATCTAGTCTAATCCACGTGGTTTTGTTTTACTAATATTAAAAAAATAAAATTAAGCTGCATACCATTCGCATATTATTCTAAATCCCTTCGTCGAAAAAATACTGAACAATAAAATGTTTCACAGAAACAGCAAGGGCCTGCAAATGAATGAACCCATTCATCGCACCAAGATAAAAATATGTTGCGACGACAAACCTGGATGATGAACGTAACATCACTGAAGTATGAAAACTGATATGCCATCTAACCGAGAAACGTGAAAATCAGGGGTTCTCAAGTTGTTACACTTTAGAACGATTTCAGGAATACGCTTTCTAATATAATTACCTTATAGATAGAAGGAACGTGTTTTGTATAAAGGTGCCATCTGTTTTGAATCGAAGGTAAACAAACTGAAAAGATTTCACATACATTATGGAGAGACGAAAGACTTTGATCCAACTTTATTGTGAAAGTAATTTTGCTTTTAAATTCATTTATGCTTCACAATTTCTTCTTTTTCTCTTATACTTTGAGGGCCCACGATAAATGTATTGATCATTCTGACTCCAATGTACGTAGAGGGGATTTTCAATGGTTTTGAACTCAATATTCATTGTTTGTAAGGGCTGCAACAGGAACTGGGGATTGAAAGGTAAAATTTATTTGCAGTCTAATGCTGTGATCTAACAACGCTTAGTATTATAAAATGATTTTTCACAATTTGGAGACTTCAAGAACGATTTTTAACATTCTAGATGGCTTGCGTGAATCTTGAAAAATTGAAATACAGGGAGATTGAGCAAGATTAGTAGGAGAGTATTTGATTCATGCCATGCTGAATACATTTGTTTGTAACTTATTATGTGTTATTCCCTTTCTAACCATGAAAATAAAGCAGCTCTGACGTCATAATCCATAAGCTCACCCACTTCAATAATTTATAATATGAACTGTTCCCTAATATTTAGATTATAGTCTTTGGTTAAACTGAGTAAATTAACACAATTATTATATACATGTAAATACAACAAAATGAATGTTTTAAATGGAATTGTATGGAAATGAAACAAATTACAAGTTACCTTAAGCTCTTTCCTAAATGATACTGCAAAATAAGCAGGCTAGCTTAAATCTTGCTTATCGACGATTTCGTCAATCGAAGAGATATAAGATAGGAGCAAAAATGATCAATAAATTGATCGTGGGCCCTTATTATATAAAAGAAGAAGAAGTCGTCTTATACCAAGTTTGCAATGCAGTAGCTGGTTATTGGATTCTGTAAGTTTTACGAAGTTTTGTAAAGATAATGAACACGAAACCTTTTCAAGGTATTTGGTATAAGATTTTTGAAGACGCAAATGCTTCTTGGTTTAAACTTAAAAATATCCCATAACCCATTTCTTTTTTATTAGAACAAAACGAATTAAATTATTGTAGATTTGTTATTATTTTTGTTTTTAACTATTAGCTTTATTCTTGAAATTTTTTATTTGCCTTAATTTTTAGCAATTTCAATGCTAATTTAAATAGTAGAGAAATGAGAGATGCAAGTCATTGTGTGACCATTTTAAAATGCAAAATATCTTCTAATCAAATGTTTGCATTTCTATTGATTGTTGGATTCATTAATATGAGCGCATTAATTTAATTTTCGAAATGTAATTTCAATAAAAACATATATATATATATAATATATATTACAACTGATTGAATGTTCAGCTCAAAAGGACAATGGAAAAACCCTTGATCATAAACCAAGGACAAATAGTAAATCTGAGCCTGGAGCAATGACGAAACAATCTGAGCATGTTGACTCAACACACATTGATCCTATCAATTTTAGTGAAGTTATTAGTGACGATACCGAAACAACAGACAGCACACAGCTACCAAGTGAAGCTGACATAATTCTGTCTACGGCCACTGTTGAAGGTAAAATATACTAGTTGAGACTACGGAATATTCATCAATGAAAACTGTTTTACACATTATTGCTAAACGCCATAAGGCTAATATTAAATTTTTAATAATAAGACACTAGTGTTCAAATGTGACGTCTTATTCATGTTAGCCAAAAGTACTGTATAAATGTAGACACATAAAAATTTACCTAAGCACTTTATTAAAAAAAATGCCAAAAGTAGAACAAAGATAATTTTATTTGGACAATAGATATTTTCACCGGATTATCTCAAAATGGTATTTATTTATTTATTTATTTATTTAGGCATTTTTATATAGCGCTTATCATAAAGCTCTAAGCGCTTTACAATTATTAAAACATGTAAACTAAGTAAATACAAATGAGACACTAGGATAGTAACTACTATTCTATAGAAACAATGAAAATGGCTATAAAAAGAGGACACTTTGACACTTCAGGATTAAACCGAAACAGAAAATTAGGTAGGGCAAGGAGGGTGCATCACAGGTCATAGGCGGACCTAAACAGATGAGTTTTAAGGGACTTTTTGAAAATGGACGAGGTTTCACTATGACGTATATGGAAGGGGAGCTGGTTCCAGAACGTGGGCCCATGGAAGCAGAAGGAGCGTTCACCGATGGTCTTAGTTTTAGTTCTTGGGATTGAGAGGGTTCTACTGTCAATGGAAGAACGTAGTTGTCTTGTATTTACTATGTTAGTATTTCTAGCACTAATAGTTTATTCTAATTTCTTACTTTTATTCACTTCTTGTGTAACATGCCATCGCCATTATTTAAACATTTTTTATTTTGAAAGAAATAGTAAAACCATGATTTAAAAAAAAAAAATTCTTATGTTATTTTTGGTATCGAAAATTTAGTCA